GTCACCTAGGGCTCGATAACACGGAAAGAGTCCCACCAGAGCTTAATCCTTTTGATACCGTAGGTATCTGGGATAAGTGAATTTTCCCCTTAGAGGGAGTGTGAGCCGTATGGCTAAATCTGGATAATATTCAAAAGTAAACTTAATTCCAAGCACTTAGTAAAAGCAATAAACACATACGCAATGACACCTTTCACATAGTCCTCATTTGGCGTTATAAAATTGTCGAATACGGAAACTGAAGAACTAAATAGACCAAATAGAACCGTAATAACTAAATACGCATCAACCACTCCAAATAATACATCCAACGTATGACTAACACGCACACAATGCGGGAGAAGAACGGGTGTTTTGGAAATATCACATACTACTTAAAAATAAAAAAAACAGCAAAAAAAAACAAAGACAAAAATACATAGACACAGCGATTAGACCGATGATAGCATAAGGGGCGGAAGTAATGTGTCTTACAAAAAAAGATGATGAAAAAGTAAGAATTATTAAAAGAAAAATTATAAGAATAAACAGACCAATAAAGCCAGAACAATGAAGCATGAAATAAGAAATATAAATATAACCGAAAAAGAAGACAAGTAAAATTTATTAATTCATAAAAACTGAGATAGTAATAGATTTAAATAACATTTTTGTTATTTCTCACTAAAATATTACATAATCATAATACCAGATCATTTAATTTTTAACTATCAACAAAAATGTAATATAATATGATGTACGAATTTAATGGTAATATGATATTGACAAAGAAAGCCGCAACATACATAATTTCTTTATGGGTAAAATTGTTTAGATAATGAATGAATTTGGTGTATTATATTCCGACTGACATAGCAGAACAGTAAAGTATTATACATAAAGATGTTGTTATAAGATATCTTTGCTTAGTTGGTCTACTAGTAACCATATAAGTTATAGCATATATTTGATAAAATTACTGTCTACACAGGCAACTTGGCAACTCAGCCAATTGATATAATGACAAAAAACTGCAATTTATGTTAGGATTTGAAAATATTACAGAGTCGTCATGTAGAAATCTACAATTAAGTTGAAAAATTTACCACAGTAGCATGCCGCAGTAGAGCCATCTCTAGGATCAGAAACAAATTAATCGAGGGTGCAGATCAACCTTAAACGGGCATCTCGCAATTGCGGGCACTCTAACCTAACCAAGCGTTTATATGACATTTAACATTCGCTTAAATGGTGTCAGAGTTGCCAAGTCTCCAGTTTTTTCATACTCTCACATATTATACAAATGTTGATTAAAGTGATATATAAAAAATTAATAGTATAGATTTTAGTTAAATTAAAGATAATAATCAAATGCATATACACTAAAATTGATTAAAATTATATAAAAAATTAATAGTAATAATTAAATTACCGTATATAATAGAAATGCATTGAAATTATATAAAAATTCAAAGATTTTAGTTAAATTAAAGATAATAATCAAATGCATATACAATACAACTGATTAAAATGATATAAAAAATTTATTTAATATATTTAAATCTTGTAGCTTCTCATAATACAAATTATAATTTCGTAAAAGTAACTTATATTTTAAACCTTCATATACATTTTACAAACAAAATACGGCAAGTTTTATGCTTATTTAAAATTTGTAGCTTCTCATAACACAAATTATTATTTCGTAAAAGTAAATTTATATTTGTAGCATTCATATACATATTTTACTAAAATAAATACGGCAACACTGTGACGCAGAGCCTTGAGGAAAATATATTTGGTTAGGTTAGAGTGCCCGCAATTGCGAGATGCCCACTTAACCCAGATACCTACTCCTACTGTCCGTTAAAACCAATGACGTATAATATATAGACTCGGTGAACGCTTTAAAAAGTGTCCAAAACATGAATACCTTTGTTATTGTTTATTGTTTTGATACGAAGATGCACGAAGTTCATGATTTCTTACGAAGCATCACGAAGTTGATCTTGTGTTTGAAAACATCATGGACGTATGAAAACATTTTCTCCATTTTGTGTGACAAGCAAATTTTATTTTAAATTGTTGAGAGTTATTTACTTACTATTTTAGTAAAATGCCATACTATTTTATCAAAATAATTATTTCTCTTATAGACGGGAACAAAAAGAAATCATAAATATTTAATTTTAATAAAAAAAATAATTATTGTCATTAACATATAAATGAGCACGCCGCTGTTGTGATAAACATACCTTCAACCTTGAGCCGATATCTTTCGGACACTCGATTCTATAGCGAGACTAGGGGACTGCGTAGTCTATATATTATACGTCATTGGTTAAAACATACACTATACAAATTCCTGTATTATTCGACTTTTACTATTATTCACTAGATGTCACAACGTAGCCTGCTTTTTAAATATGCATCAGTAGTTGTTTTCATTTATCTGCAGTCGACGGTTAGCTAAGTAAGGTGTCGAAAATTTGTAATAAATATTAGCGCACGTGGTAAATACAAAATGGATAAAAGGAAGTAAGTATTTTGAGGATACTATGACATTATTTTCTCACAAAGTTTTAACATTTACTTTCGTTTTTGATTATATTTTACTATAGTTATTACTGTTATCAATATTTATTCTTTTTTCTGGGAAAAATAATGCTCAAAAACAACTGTATGTTATAACATACGGTAGGATAACATGCTACTCGTCATAACATTTTGTAACTTTTTAGTTATTGGACGAAACCATTGACTCTCAATGAGTTATTAGATGAGATTGAACACCTAGATGATCCATCTTCATTACCTGATGGTATTATTGTCTTCCCTCCATCCGATAAATATGATACCGACGAAGATTCCGGGATGAAAACCACATTGATATAAATAACCTTCCCGGTAGTCAATTAGGAGTACAAGCTGAAGTTGTTTTTGATAGTGCACCGTTGGAGGAGGATGAAGGGCAGAATAAAATTATTTCGGATCCAGAAGATATTGCAATTGAAGATTCTGATAGTGAAGATAACCTCCCATTGTCTATCCGTGTGTCTCGCTCCCGTTATCTTGGTGTAAGTGCTCCACAACCCAAGCCGAAGAAAAAAAGAGAGTATTCCTGGAAAAAACAAGATATTGATCCAAATTTTCCCGACTGGAAGCCAGTAAGTGAACCAAAAAATTTTCTCACGCCTTACAGTTATTTTCCCTTTTCATTGATGATGAAGTTGTGGACCTAATTACACATTTTAGTAATCTATATGCATCTCAACACAATCGCTCTGGAGATATCAATCAAAATGAAATTAGGTGTTTCATTGGGATATTACTTCTAAGTGGATATTTCTCATTTCGTCGAAGATCTATGTACTGGGAAAACAACGATGACGCAGGGTGTAAGTTGGTGTATTCGGCTATATCGCGAGATAGATTCAATTTTATTATGCAAAATATACATGTTTCTGATAATACCGAATTACAAAAAGGCGATAAATTTGCTAAAATGCGTCCACTATTTGACATAATCAATAAAAATTGTCATATGTTTCGTCCATTTGAAGAACATCACAGTGTTGATGAAGCGATGGTCCCTTACTATGGGCAGCATGGATCAAAACAGTTTATCCGAGGTAAACCCATTAGATGGGGCTACAAACTATGGGTCGGAACCACAAAACAGGGATATGTCGAGTGGTTTGAACCTTATCAAGGTGCCACCACTCCACTTTCTGATACATACAAGGAATTAGGATTGGGAGCCAGTGTCGTATTGTCATTTGCCGATAAATTGCAGTCTGATAACCCAGGTACGCCGTTTCACTTATTCTGTGATAATTTTTTTACCTCACTTCCATTACTACGTGAGCTAGCAGCAAGAAATTTAAAATGTACTGGAACAATTCGAGAAAATCGAGTTCCGGGTTGTCTTCTGAAAAATTCCAAGCTTTTCAAAAAAGATCAGAGGGGTGTATTTGAATACTCACTCATAGAAGACGAAAATATTATAGTATGTAAATGGAACGACAATAATGTCGTTACTATTGCATCAAATGCTACTTCACCACTGCCAACCTTACAGGTGAAAAGATATTCACAGAAAGAAAAGAAAAGTATACTCATCCCACAGCCATTCATGATAAAAAAATATAATGAAAATATGGGAGGAGTAGACAGTGTAGACCAAAATATAAGCTTATACAGAATAGGTATCAGAAGCAAGAAATGGTACTTTAGTTTATTTTCGCATTGCCTTGATATGGCGGAGCACAATGCCTGGCAATTGCATAAAAGTAATGGTGGGAAAATGGATCATCTAGCATTCAGAAGATGGGTAGCATCAGGATTACTGGAAATGTATAAGAAAACAACTAAATGGGGACTGTCAAAAAAAGGTCAACTTACACATTTTGAGTCAAGGTACGATAGATTAGACCACATCGTCATTTATCAAGAAAAACAAACAAGGTGTGGTGTATGTCATAAGCAGGCAGCGTTCAGATGTAACAAGTGCGATATTGCACTTCACCCTAAATCATGTTTTTTTAGTTATCATAATAAAGAATAACTTTAATTTTTATACTTAGTTTCATTTATTGTATAATGAAATCATTGATCCTTAATTAGCTTAGATTCCTACTGTTGGTTATAACATACACCTGATAACTCAAAAACGGCCAACCTAAATAAAAAATTTTATTTGTAAAACTTGTATATAAATGAAGTAGAAAGCCATTCACAAGAGAATTTATTAAAAATTTTGAAGTCAAAAGTTTTAGGAGTATCTGGGTACTATATACCTACCTACAGTTGCAAAAATTTTAACAAAACCTTCTATCTATCTTATTCAAATTGTACCAAAATCTTTTGAGGTCAGAATAAAATAACTGGTCTAAATTAGAAGTATTATATTGATAACAGACGTTGGCTATCTTTTTTGTATACAATAAATTAACTGACCTTTTTTTGTAATACTTGTGTCTATATGTATTAATAAATTACATTTAACAAAAGTTACTTACCTATGTAATCTATGACAGGCAGAGAATGTTAGCCTTCTTGTTAAAAAGGCTTTTGCACTCATTTTTAGTAGTACTTCTTTAAAACCAAAGCAGTGTTCATAGATTAAATATATATAAGTAGAGTATAACCAAAGGCAAAAGTATAGAGAAAGTGCCGATGAAGTTGGCTATAAACGTAATGTCAAATTTGTGTTTGCGGTATTACCATGTCCTTAGTATGTATATGTTTTATGCCTCAAATATGCATTATTTTATAAAATTAGGTATTTTTTAAATTTATATAAAACACGAATGAATGAATATTTGTTTCTTATGATATTAGTTGCAGTTAGTTATTAGAAAAAAAAATATATAATTGGCCTTGGTAAAGGTAAATGATAATTGGTAAATTAGCAAATAAACTTGGCAACACTGTCAAAACTTGAAAACACTATACTCTGTTTTTTAACCAGGAGGAGTAAACCAAAAAGACAGATTCACACCCAAGAAAGTTACTAGAAAAGTCACCAAATACATCTTCTTTTTTTGTTGTATATCTCGGCCTTGCGGTAATCGAGTAATCAATATCGGACAACCTTAGACGTCAATTCTAACCTAACTTTATGTTTGAATAATATTTTTTTTAATTCACTTCCAATATATATTACAATTATTACAATAAAAAAGGACGTTTTTTCACATTTGGTCCCATGTATATATATTTAAATACAGGGTGATCCAGTTTTATAGATCTTTTGAGTCGATGGTACTTAATTTAGAAAACATTTTGATCCAGAGAGTCAATAATGTTACAGATCTAAGTATGGTTTTTCTCAGAAATTTTTCTTTTAATTTGCAAATAGATTCTATATGCAACAAATCTATGCAAATGCATGTATCAAAAAGTTAGAGAGAGTTCAAAAATTTCTGAAATACTGTTCTTTTAAACTGCGTAGACCATATTCTTCTGGTGTGATTAATTTCTTGAATCTATTTATGAAGATTTAACTTATGTATCAATATCCTAAGTATCTATTTGAAGCACTAAAATGCAAAACATAACATTTGTATAAATAAGTGTGTGTCCCTGTAATTAATCGCTCCTAGGCGTGCGGGCTAGGCGTGTGCTCGCGCTGTAAATTTCGCGCCGCTCACAAAACGCCTGCATCTCTTTATTTATACGTCCATGCCTGCATCTGAAAGGCTATATTTGAATTAATGCCAACTGATTTTTAGACGTAGGGCGTAGAGCGTGTCCTACGCCTCATGTGAAACGGCACTAAATATCTACTAACCTTGCACGTCGCCAATATAAAAAATCGTCGATATAAATTTTGAATTTTAAAATTTCACAAATGTCATTAGTGTCAATATGTCACAATTTAGTGGAGTAAACTTGCCTGCGCTTTGACCAATTACTCCTCCTGGTTAAAAAACAGACCATAGTTCCCTCTAAAACTTGACGAAACGTCTGCGCGCACTTAATTTTCCATGGAGAGTGGGCTTTCTGATTGTTTATTATTCTGTGACATAAGTTATCATTAAACAACACTGGTTTCCTCTCAGTGATATGTAAGAGAGATATCCTCTCTTACATATCTCTGTTTCCTCTAAAACAAGGCGGAACGTCTGCGCGAACGAGATGCGCGTACTTAATTTTTCATGGAGAGTGGGCTTTCTGATTGTTTATTATTCTATGACACTACAACAGAATAATAAACAAACAGAATGCCCACTCTCGACGGAAAATTAAGTACGCGCATCTCCTTCGCGCAGACGTTCCGCCATGTTTTACGAGGATTTTAAAGGGAACCAGTGTTGTTTATGTGGTGTGCATGGAAAAAAAAAACCAGGTTTATTTGACTTACGGCAATCATAGACATACTATACAATTATATTAACAGTTTTAAATATAATAACATAAATATAATATAATTAAACATAAATGTAAACAATTGCATAACCTTACAAATCATATGCTTGAGTCCTCCTAAAACATGGCGCGCGTGCTGAAAAACTTTAAAGGCGGCATCTGAGAGTGGCCCTTCTGATTGTTTATTATTCTGTGACACTACTCTACCGAAATTTTTTGTTCCATGTTTGACATTTGCGGCTACAATACAGTGATGTTCTTTGGGAGGGATTATTTGAAGCAAATGGGATTAAGGGATTTTTCAATCAAAATGAGAGATATTATCATATTAAGCAAAATAACTTATTTCAGTACTTATTTAATTAATATCTACAACATGTGACAACTATCGGCAAAACCTGTAAGTAATTTAAATTTCAATGGAGATTTCTATCTAGGTTACAGTTTTTTAAGTTGAGTTCTTAGCATAAAGTGACCACACAACACATTGACAAATAACTGTTATCTGTCATAGGTCAATGAATAATTGACAGCTGTCTTACGATGTCTAAGCGGTGTTTGAGGTATCAACCACATTCTAAACTTCTAGTGTTAATATTGACAAGAAAAAAATGTATTTTTGATAACAGTAATTTTGATTTATTCCCAAAAATATAAAATTTCAGTATAACCACTTTTAGTTTACCAACATTTTTGCATGTTATACGTTATTGTACATACTTTTTATTATATACATTTTTTATATTCGTATTTTCAAATAAATCTTTTAAAAATTACGAAAGATATATCCTTTGGTTTAATTTGATATAAATATATTGTGTACATTCGTTTATCGCAATGACGTATAATATATAGACTCGGTGAACGCTTTAAAAAGTGTCCAAAACATGAATACCTTTGTTATTGTTTATTGTTTTGATACGAAGGTGCACGAAGTTCATGATTTCTTACGAAGCATCACGAAGTTGATCTAGTGTTTGAAAACATCATGGACGTATGAAAACATTTTCTCCATTTTGTGTGACAAGCAAATTTTATTTTAAATTGTTGAGAGTTATTTACTTACTATTTTAGTAAAATGCCATACTATTTTATCAAAATAATTAGTTCTCTTATAGACGGGAACAAAAAGAAATCATAAATATTTAATTTTAATTAAAAAATAATTATTGTCATTAACATATAAATGAGCACGCCGCTGTTGTGATAAACATACCTTCAACCTTGAGCCGAGATCTTTCGGACACTCGATTCTATAGAGAATAGGGGACTGCGTAGTCTATATATTATACGTCATTGGTTTATCGCTTACATATCTCTGGTTTATCGCGACTTCGCTGCGCCATCTCGCGATAAACGAAGATACCTATTGGGGAGGGATCATCGAGCAATAAGACAAAAGAGGGAATCTAATCCTTATGAAAAGGAGACCAAAAAAGTGGCCTCTGGTGGCGGACATATCCGGAAATGCGAATGCGCGAAATTTAAATTTTCCGACACTTATCAACAGTAGCTATATAATATTTTTCAGAATGTGTCTTAGACGAGCAAGTTTTAATTAATTATTAATGATAAGAGTCTAAAATGCGACACAATTGTTAAAAAACTTCAATATAAATAAGATTTCATGTGACATTTGGGACAAACAATAACATAACCCAACTAAATTTGATGTCAAACAAGGAGAGAGACTCTCTTTCCTTGTTTAAAGTGGCCTCTAAAGATCGCACTTCCTGTCTAACAATATGTTTGCCCCCACTACCTTTACATTCCCTCTATTGTCTTTTTGCTCGATGGGAGGGATATTCCGATAAAAAGTGGGATAAATTTCACAAGGATCTACAGACCGAGAATTTGGCATCCAAATTCCACTGATTCGCGCAATCGTACTTGTAAGTTCGTATAGTCGGCTGGAGTTACAATTTGCCAAATTTAAATGTAATCGTTTCTACTCATTCATATTAATATTATAATGTATAATATATTAAAGTTTTTAATATTGGTAATATTATTAAAGCTTTTAATACTATTTTTTAATATTAAGAATAATATTAAGTAATTAAATATTGCGTCTTACTTAAAAAAAGTACGAGATAAACTCGTTTTTTATATCTTTACGTATGCTAAGGGTATTAAATTAAAATCCTTCAATACAAGACTAAAGGTAGGTACCTATAATTTGAATAAGCTGGTTTTGCCCATACTGACTTTCTAATTCTAATTACCTACTAATTTGCATAACAGTCAGATATTGTACCTGGTCATAATGCTGTTTTAATATTAGGATTTTCATTTCGCTTGTTGAAACTTCATCCGATATTAATTTCTTGGAAATTTTTATAAGGCTGAGAGTACTTAATCGGAATACTCGAGTATTGTTGAAAAAAACTGAAATTGAAGGTACTACACAATCGAAGAACTCAAAAAAATTAAACATTTCCGGTATTCTTTTTCCAGATCGTATTTTGTTTTCGAGATATATTTAAATTTGGGAATTTTTTATTATTTTTCCACTTTTTTCAGGTTCTTTTTTAATTTAATTTCAGTATATAAAAGCCTTTACAATATTATCCAAATTTTATTTGGAAGTTAATCTTAACTGTTCAGAAACAATTTGCTATTTAGGAAATGAAAGTTTGTTTTTTTTTCCTTAGTTCTTAATTTGCTATAACATTTCTCATTTGATTTAATAAAAAATATTGTAAATTCATTTTTTTGAATAATTATAACGACTTACATCCGAGTAGCTTAACACAATTAAAGAAAATATAACGAATACGCTCACGACTCGGAACTGAGTCTTTTCTTCTTTTCGCATAAAATATTACAAATTTATTTAAAATACCCTTTATTTAATATATACTTTATTTATTCATCACAATTAAAAAAAAATACTAGTCAGCACAGCGGTTGATTTCCATGAAAATACGCTAAGCAGTGATAATGATTGCATGTACCTAAGTTAATATTTTTGTCTTTTGGTTGGTGTTATATTGGAAATTTCCCCTCTCAAGGCATTTGCAAGAAAATTGCACTTTCATGTAAAAAACGAGTTATTTATCTCGTACTTTTTTTAAGCAAGGCGCAATATTTAATTACTTAATATTAATATTAATATTAATATTAAAAAATAGTATTAAAAGCTTTAATAATATTACCAATATTAAAAACTTTAATATATTATACATTATAATATTAATATGAATGAGTAGAAACGATTACATTTAAATTTGGCAAATTGTAACTCCAGCCGACTATACGAACTTACAAGTACGATTGCGCGAATCAGTGGAATTTGGATGCCAAATTCTCGGTCTGTAGATCCTTGTATAAATTTCGGATAACAGAGGGAGTTTCTCTGTACCATAGTACCATGTAGAACATCACTGTAAATAAGCTTCATCGAGCAATAAGACAAAAGAGGGAATGTAAAGGTAGAAGGGGTAAACATATTGATAGACAGGAAGTGCCATCTTGAGAGGCCACTTTAGACAAGGATAGAGAGTCTCTCTCCTTGTTTGACATCAAATTTAGTTGGGTTATGTTATTGTTTGTCCCTCCCAAATGTCACATGAAATCTTATTTATATTGAAGTTTTTTAACAATTGTGTCGCATTTTAGACTCTTATCATTAATAATTAATTAAAACTTTCTCGTCTAAGACACATTTTGAAAAATATTATATAGCTACTGTTGATAAGTGTCGAAAAATTTAAATTTGGCGCCTTTGCATTTCCGGATGTGTCCGCCATCAGAAACCACTTTTTTGGTCTCCTTTTTATAACGATTAGATTCCCTCTTTTGTCTTATTGCTCGATGATAAGCTTATAACATAGATAAAATTTATAGATTGGTAACAGGGATAAGCAATGTCAAATCACGTTCGGATTTAGGCGCCCATTCGTTTGGTGGCGCTGCTAGTCTCGTTTCTACGCGTAGGGAGTGTGCTGTGGTCAAATCAAAAGTTGAATTTAGACAAATACGGCGCCATATTTTTATTTGTTTTATTTTTTATAATTTATTTTATAGTTTAAATTTTTTTATATAAGTAGTGCAAAAAGGTAAAATTTTAGACGATTTTTTATTATGGAATCGAACACATTACATGGAATAACAATATAGTGACGAAGAACTGAACAAAAAAGATGTATTCCAGATTGCATGGATACTAGGCAAGCACACTACCGCTGGCAAGCAATACCGTTTTTCAAGTCCAGTAGATTATAATATGGATATGTTTGATAAATGGGTGAATGCTGTTAAAAGCCCTAATTAGAGAATGCTGCAACAGAAACTATTTATAACGATTTTCGTGTATGCGCTAGTCATTTTAAAGAGGATGATATAATTAATGTTGGACATACCGGTATTACGAGAACAGCCCTTCTGAGTTTGTTTTTACCAGCACCAGGTAAGAACTATTATGCCAATATATGTATGTATGTGACCTTTTACTTATAAAATTAGTTAATTATAAATTTAACCTAATTATAAAATCAGACTTACTTGCTTACTATTTGAATTATTTTGTAGGTGGTGGTTCAACAACTATCTTAAAAAATCATCACCTTAGAGAGGGTTCGACATAATTTCTACAGGTGTGCCTGTTTCAAAGTTGGATTAGATTAGCAGACCATGACTACACTATCATATGGAGAGGTCCATGAGCTTGCCGTTAAGTGCGAGGAGGGATCTGTCTCTCTCTTGTGAGTGAGATTGGTCTTAGAGTACCATATATTATCATGGTTTGTCTCATCTATGTACTTTTAATCAAAAGAACAACCTAAATCTAAATGTATTTAATATGTCTCTCAATAAATATATAAATATTAGTAGAAAAGAGTTACTGGTAAGATAGAGTTTGGAAACGTAACTTTGTAAAATACTTCATATTATTATTGTAACTAGGTAATACTTTACATATTTTTTTATTCTTAATGTTATTTTTCCATCTTTATAGTGCTGGATCTTAGAATCTTAGAGCTAACTGTTGGGTTTATAGGTTTAAATATGACTAAAATATTATCATATAAATGTATATAAAGTTCTTTCTAGAACTAAATCATTTAATTTTTCTGTTTCCAACTTAGCAGAGTTCTTGAGTTCTGTTTTTCTGTGAGTAGAACGCCAGACAGTAAGAGTTCTCACTGACCACTGGTAGTGTGTGTTATTAGATTAGGATGTAAGTACTACAAAGAACTCAGAATTATTAGGCTTTAATTTGACATTAGAATTCCAAAAAAATTATTTAATTACTGACAAGTTCTTGTCACAAGATTTAGAACACTAAATTATACTACATTTACCCTTCCCTATTTGTGAACAAAATATTGCAACTATCTTGGTTTATTTTTAGCTCCAGCTGATTTACAGCTAGATTGAAAATCTGAATTTTCCAATCTTGGTTCATAATTATCATCAGGTTTTTGAACAGGTAAATTTTCTGTCACATCTGGCATTGATTTAGTAGTGGAATTCTCTAATGTGTTATTTGGACTTCATCTTCATCATTATCGTGATTCAATAATATAACAATTCAATAGTAAACTTCTTATATAGTACAGAGCTCCTGGTAAAGCAGTTTTTCATTTAGTGATGTCTAAATATTTGGTTTTCAATGCTAGATTCACCAATTTCTATATAACTCATTGTATCTTTCAACTTAACCATTTCCTTCATGGTTATATGGTGTTGTTCTACTTGAAATATTCCTTTAGAGTGGAGATAATTAATAAATTCTTGTGAAGTAAAGCTAGTTCTCCTTGTCAGATTTTATATATGCCAGCATTCTATATAAACAAAATAGTGATTTAATCTGTGATTATGTCTGCATTTTTTTAATACTTCAACGCATTTGCATGTTTTCATTCTGAATCTGTGAGAGTATGTGTGAAAAAAGCAATTGGTTTTCCCCATTGATTGCTTCGCTTATGTAATTATAGACTAAATTTATTACAAGCATGTACTTATTTTGTCTTCTAGGGATTTATCTTTAGATTCATTGCTTTCTAAAAATATCTTGAATGTTATATACCAATGTTTGAATTCTTTGCAAATTTTGAGAATAAAATTGTAGTAAAAGGCCTTTTGCAGAATTAGGCTTCTATTTACATAAAACTTGACATACTAAGACAAAACAATTATTTAAATACTGACCAGTTCTTGCCACAACATTAAGAAAACTAAATTATAGTACACTTGGCTTGTATTATTAATATTTCTTGTAACACATATAACATTTCTTGTAATATTTTTATAAATAAAGGTTTTATTCTATATTTTATTCTTTAATTTTTTGACCACTTTGGCATTTTAATGTAATGTAAAATAAATATAGTCTCAACATAACAAGAAAACCCAAAAAGTATACGAAAAATATTTATTATCGTATAGGATAAGGATTTTTCTTGTTATTTTAAGATTATATCGATTTTCCTTTACTTTAAAATGAGTTCACAATCCTAGGTAATATTACAAAAATTTTGAATTTCGCGCCATGTATTTATAGTTAGGCGCCCGGTCACTAGGTGATGCGCCAATCATTGTTTTACTCGTCAACACGGAAGTTTCAATGCTAGGTGGTAGTGTGCTATGGCTTGTAATTTCAGTAGTAAAGTAAAGTAAAAGCAAAGAATTCTTTGCTAAAAGTAAACTCAACCCTTTTGGCGAACTTTGAAATGAATAATGATTTTATGTGCTATATTAAAAGGAAAACGTTTAACTCCTTTTCTTAGCTTACACAGAAATTGTTACTCAGTGAAAAAACTAATTAAAGATGAAGATAACTTAGGTCGACGACTTTATCAACAAATTAAAGTCAGGGGTCCTATAACTGTGGCTGATTATATGAAGGAAGTACTTACTAATTCTACAATGGGATATTACATGCACAAAGATGTTTTTGGAGTTTCTGGTGACTTTATCACATCTCCAGAAATCACTCAAATGTTTGGAGAAATTGTAGCTGTTTGGTTAATAAATGAGTGGCAAAAAATGGGGTCCCCAAAACCACTACAGATAGTTGAACTGGGACCAGGTAATATTCCAGCCAATCTATATATTATAATTTGACCATACCTGTGAAGATAATATTGTTGCCAAAAGTGTTCAGTTGAAAATTACACATCTCATCTTAAAAATAAATATTTCCTCTTTCCTTTGTTTTAGGCATAGACATATACTTATATATGAAGATTTAAGATTAATATTATCAGTCATTCAGTGTATAGAGACAGTATTAGTAGTGAATGAGAACAAAAAATTTTTCATTTCATTATTCATGATATATCCTTCATTGGGAAGAAAAGGGTTACATCTAAGAATTTTCACTTTTTCAGTAGAGAGGTTTTAAAATTCCTATTAATTTATTTCATTTATATTGTGCAGTGTTTATTGATATTATATAATTTAAGGATTGAATATGATAGATTCCTGATCTTTTAATTGCTCTGACAATTTTTAAGATATCAGGTTTAAATTGATTTTGCTCATAAAGTTACATTTTAGAAATTGTATTGGTAAAGTATTATTAAAAATGCCATTAGATCAATATTATTTAATAAAAATGGTTAATAAAACAAAAAAAAATTACTTAACTAGTTCGTATCCATTACACAACATAACATGAAAGCAATAATAATAACGATTGTTTTTCTTTACAAATTTTTATAAAAACTTAAATAGTATTTAGGAACACATGGTTTTTTTTCTATTAAAGACAACAGTCCATTTTTCTTAGCTTCAGTGATTCCCACTTTTTTTGTAAAAGCTTTCTTTAAAGCAATATTATTGATATTAATTTCAAGCCTAGAACGCACAATTTCCACTTGATCATATTCTGATTAAAAGATTATTTATGTAGGATTGTTGCGATCCAACATCAAGATCCTCACATCAGATATTTTAAAAATTTTGGAAATAGTAAGGTGTAAGTCTGCACACAAAGCTTTAAGATCAAACATGTCATTAAAAGCCATTTTATGTACTTTATATGGACTTCCAGTTTTTTTAGTGTCTGAATAATGCACCCATATTGGTCAGGTATGCATATTGGACTTTATTTTTTATATTTTTTTATCTGCTTGCTTTTCTATCATGGCGTGGACACTATCTCCTTCACTTTGTCCATGTTCTGGGACAAAAAATTTATATGTTATTGATTTTATGGACAAATTATTTGTAGCATAGAAGTACAGGGCAATTATAAATTTGTTTTTATTTTGCCCTGCACAATTATCAGAATAGAAGATTTGCCATTACAAATATTTTGAAGAAACTTTAGAATGCAACATCCTATTTCATTTGACCCCCTCAAAGCTTCATCCTCGTGCCATAAAAAGCAAGTACCTTTGTGAGACTTAATATCATACAGTGTAAAATTAAAAACATTCAGTTTTGAAACATAATAAAATGATGATGCTTCTCCAGTTGGGCAAGGCAGAACTGCTTGAAGATCATACTCTACGACTTTGGTAGTACCATCACTATTTTTGTCAATATCTTTTTCTGTTCTGGATAAGTATTTTTCTGTTAAATGTTTATCGAACTTTTCTTGTAAAGATGCATTCTCTTCCTCTGACGAAGACCTGTATCGCAAGCACTCTTCACATTGGTCTTTTTTAGGGACATGAAATGCTAGATTGAATTCTTCATTGAACAGCTTAAAGTACATAAGGTAGTTCCCTGAAGAAACATTTTGTTCCTTACATAATTGGCTATGGTTTTACTTCCTGCAATGTACTCTTTAGTGGAATACGACCAACAATAATGGCTTTATTTATTATTTATTAGACTTAATGTGAGCTCTAATTGAATTTTTTTATGTTTTCCATGCTTCCCTCTCTTGTCCTTTTCTATACCCTTTCTGGTTTCGCATACAGTTTGTTTTCGCAGAACCGTTGTTATGACTTTGTGATTAATTGATAAAGTTGCCATAAAAGAGTATTTGCACACCCATACTTGCTGTCCATCATTTAAAAAATAGTATGCATTATTTGGTTTTCTGGGTGCATCTTTATTTGAATATCTGTACCGTGGTGCAACAGCTTTCAAATTAGACAAAATATATTCTCTTTGTCAAGGTCATTCAGATTCCAGTACTCTTTAAATATTGTGTTTCTCTGTGCTTCATCTAATTTTTCGGAACACTTTAACTTGCATTTATTTCCGCAGGGTGGTAAAAGTGCTTTAGCTGGCCCCAATATTTTGGATTTGGTTTTTGTGCCCACTGCATTTTTAACAATTCTGGTAGATAAATAGGCTTCTCCGCCATTTCGCAATCTCTTTGAGTCTGCCTGTTGTCACGTTGCAGGCTGTCAAAGTTTCTTCCTACCCAACTTTTCATTGTTTGAAGGATCTTTAACTTTTCTTTTTTTAATTGCATTACCTGTTGTTATTTTAACTTGCCTTTTAATGACAGGTGGATTAAAAAGAGGATCTGCGATGCTGTCATCTGATCCATAAGGATCGGTTTTAGAATTTTGTGAACTGTTGTCTGTATCCAAAGTTATGTTACTGCTAGATGGTGACTTACTGCTAGATAATAATAATAATAATAATAACCTGTGGGAGTTTTTTATCAGTTCTTCTATCAGGCGCGGCCCCCTGCGAATGGGGGATGCTCTTTGGGTATTCTTAGAACCGATACCCAGAGGGTAACAGGAATACCTGTCGTGGAACAAAAACTGACACCTGGCAGTAGGTATAAAATGCACACCCATGAAAATGGAGACTAATAATTATTTATGTTTAGGGTCGCTGCCTGGGGATCGCCAGGGCACGTCTGGAGCCGGCGCTGGACGTGACAGCATGCGGGACGTCGGTGGCAGGGTGTTGAGGAGGCGGGCCCCTGTCATACAATCAGCTACAGCCCAACAACAACAACAACAACAACAACCACAAGTGAGCCAAACAACAACAAGAGCTCCACTCGCTGAAGGTGCTGCGCTGGAACATCAGCCGGCGCTCACACAAGCGGGTCGACCGAGGCAGCGCATGAAATGGACTATGTCTATAAATGAAAACATTTTGCGCTTCTATTACAAGGTGACGAACCTCGGTCGAGAAACGATCGGCTATAGACAACAACTGTATGCCGAATTTTGCAGGGAGTATCCAGAGATTGAAGTATCTGAACAGCGAATAGCAGATCAATACCGGGTAATTATAAGAAATAATCTTATCCCAGAGGCTAGACGCGCTACCATTAGAAGCGAAGTCGAACGGGAGATTCATAACCAAGAGCTAGTTGTGGATCAAGACCATAATGAAATCCCAAATGAGCAGATTCCTGAGCCCCTTATACAAGACACTCAACCTGTTAATACCCAGCAGGACAACAACGAGTTGCACAATAGACTGGTAAGAGAAATGGAACGGGCCATACAAGAGTTTAACGGTACAAACCCACTTAGCCGACCACCGCTACCAAAAATAAACTCTTGTAAGAAACTAGGTGCGCTGTTACAAATTATGAACACTGAAGTCCTACCCAATTATATCGTGGAAGCACATACATTAGAATATTTGCATATGCTGATTTACTGTGCAGCAACAGCAATTGCTAATGTTATGGGCATTAAGATCAGAACACGACGGGGAACTAATATCGGAAGGACTGAAAACAGAATTGCACCCTGGGAAAAAAGACTGCTGAGGAAAATTGAATTATTACGCAGGGATATTGGGCAAATTACGGAATACATCCGAGGAGTAAGAAGTCAAAAACTAATTAAAAGAGCTGAAGAAATTATTCTGAACACTTCAAGACACTCACAACATGATCCAGAAAACAACACAGCTCAACACTGCCTAGACACATTAAAACAAAAACTCTCCGTTTATTCAGGTCGCTTAAGGAGATACAAAGTTAGTTACAACCGTAAATGCGACAATATACTTTTTGAGAATTCAGAGAAGGCTTTCTATAGAAAACTAAATTCCACTGTAGAAAATGTAAATAAATCCTACCCAAGCCAAGAAGAAATTCATGAGTTTTGGGGAAATCAACTTTCGACGCCAGCTACCCATAACAACAATGCTGGATGGATTGAAGACACGGAGAACAATTGTCAACACTATAGGAATATTCCTTATGAACCTTTTACCACTGAAGAAGTCTTGAACATCATCAAAGAGCTTCATAACTGGAAATCTCCTGGACCAGACGGAGTTCAAAACTTCTGGTTAAAGAAGTTTTGGAGTGTTCATGAACTTTTAACAGTATTTATTAATAATATTATTTCTAATTTGCAGGAATTACCATCATTTCTTACTCAGGGAACCACTTATCTAATACCGAAGGATCAAAATAACACCCAAGATCCAGCCAAGTACCGCCCAATTACTTGTCTTCCAACTTTGTACAAATTGGTCACATCCTGTGTGGCCCGGCGTATCTACCAACACTGTGCTCTGAACAATATCATAGAGCCCCAACAGAAAGGATGCGCTAAGGGCTCCATGGGATGCAAAGAACAACTTATTATCGACTCAGTCATCTCTAACCAGGCATACACCAAAAAACGAAACCTGTTTACTGCCTTCATTGACTACAAGAAGGCTTTTGACTCAGTGCCGCATGAATGGCTTATAGATATATTGAAAATATATAAAGTCGATGATAATCTCGTGACCTTTTTGAAGCATATAATGACAAAGTGGAAGACTAAAATTCACCTTCAAATACCTGGTGAAACCAATATCGAAACTGAAGATATCGCTATTAACCGGGGCCTTTTCCAGGGGGACTCGTTGAGTCCACTTTGGTTCTGCCTAGCGATGAACCCACTATCTCAGCTGCTGAACTCCACTGACTCAGGATTTAGCATCAAAAATAACAACACTGTTGTGGCGAAGCTTAATCATCTGTTGTATATGGATGATTTGAAACTAATGGCTTCCACTCGAAATCACTTAGATCAGATGCTAAAAACTGTAGAAACTTTCTCAAATGATATCAGTATGCACTTTGGACTAGACAAGTGCCGTATACTTAATATAGTCAGAGGAAAGGTTCAGCCCGGAGGTTTCGATATG